ATCCGCTTTTATTCCCGCGCTCGCCGCTATCTGCGCTATCCCGATCGACACCTCCGCTGCCGCCGCGCCCGCCCCCCCCTCGCTACCGCCCGTGGCGCGGCCCGCGCGGCCCACCGAGCGGGTGCCTCCCTCGCCGCCGTCGTACGCCGCGCCGCCGCCGGCGCTGGGTGAAAGTTCCGCAAGAGGGGAACGGAGAGGGGCGGGCTGACGGTAGGGGATTGAATGAGGGATGTCTCTTGGCTGTGGGGTGGATTGCCTCCCAGAAGGATGTTCTGATTCCAGAATGAGGGAACCGTCACCTTCAAACGCTTGGACATCTGCACAAACGTTACGGGCTGACATTAGCGGGCCTAAGGCACTTTGGATAGCAAAACGGAGGTGTTATGAAGGAGATGGAAAGAAAATAGATTCAGAGACGTCCGCAGCAACTGAGAATGTCGCTAGTACTACAGATACTCTCCCTTGTAATGTTATGTTACATCTGAATGTTGTCCTATACGAAAGGCACTCTGATTCGGAGGTTGCACGATACTGTACCCAGAATAATTTCTGAAGTTTGTCAGAATTCTGGCAATGCATAATATCTGTATTGTGTGCTACCCCAACAATATACATAATTCTCGTAAGCCACTCTAGACAGGAGACGGAATATCATAGGAACTAAAACCTTGCGCTTTGGTGAGCATTCACCCTGTCATTAGCAAGACTTTGCTACGCGCTTTTGCGCACTGTCCCCGCGCTCGTGTGTATCTCTACCGTCACACACTCTCGAGACGCCTCCCTCAGCGTCTCGCCCGAACACGCACAACATATTGGAATATGCGTGGAAGGACGTTTGGCTGCAGAAACGATAAACCAAGTAGAGCGGGCGGCGGCATGGCTACATTGTGCCAAATTGGCTGGGCCTGCGTAGAAGACAATTTGGCTGAAATGATAACCAAGTCCACTGGCGTTGGCGTGGTCACAAATCGCTATGAAATAGAGCAGGCTTCAACTCAAATGACTTCATGCGAGATTACTTTTTAACTTATTTGTTCGGGACGCGTACTCGATATTTATCACTGCTGTCTTTGCGATACATTCAAAGATTTTCTGACTGGAAGATTTATAGGATAATCTATAGTAGGGCCGCGTCGAGCCGCTTTTAAGTTTGCGACGTTTAGAGTGTAACAAAGAATTCAGCTACTGTAGAGCAACTTAAAGCGGCCGACAACTCCAGGTACATTGGAGGTTGATGCCGCTCGCATCGCGATCGTTGGAACAAGTGAGGTACCCTAAAACGCAGACCCAGCTCAGAAGCTTCTTGGGACTTTGTAATGTGTACCATCGGTTTGTCCCACATTACGCGAAAATCGCGCATCCGCTCAATCAACTATTGAAGAAGGGACAACCGGTCCAGTTGGAAGGATTCGACGAACCGTGCAAGAAAACTTTTCATAAGCTCAAGGACGCCATCTTGACACCGCCGGTGTTGGCGCTGCCGAAGAAGGACCTACCATACTCGGTAGATACCGATGCAAGCGACTATCAAATTGGCGCTGCTTTATCTCAAACGCATCCGGATGCGCAATGTGGGATAACTCCTCTCCGCCCTGGGTTGGATGAGAGGCGGAGGCTTCAGTGAGGGAGCACGCGGCGCGGACGCGACGCGCCAATTGAACCGATCGGACGAGCTCGCGAAAAGGGAGTGGCTCACTGGCCGGTTACGCGCAGTCGCCCCGTGGTGCGTGAACGGGAGCGACCGGTAACGGGTTAGAAGCCAGCGCGCGCGACAGACAACCGAAAACGGACGTACGTACGCGCAAAAGGGACGGGGGCAAGCTTGCCCCCGTTTACTGGTGGGGACGGGTGCCAGGTCTTAACCCCGCAGGGGGACGCCTCGGACACCTGTCCCAGTACAGTAGTACAGTACCTGCCGCCTAGTGCGTGCCGGGTACTGTACACAATTAAAAAACTAGCGCCATAATTGCTACTACCGCACGGACGCTGCTACTACACGTGTGCACTACTGTACACGCGTGTTGCTTACAGACTACCGCACGGACCACACGTGTGTTAACGCGCACGCGTAACACGCGTAGACTACCGCTCGGACGACACGTGCACTACTGTACACGTACGCCAGATTACGACCGCTCGGCATGCGCGCGCGCTCGCTACACGTGGGCACAGCCGCCCACGTGTATACCGTATACGGCCGTCCGATGACCTCCGCGCGCTCGCGCCGGTCATTATACTACAGACCTCCCCCCTTAGCTTTCGCTACGTCCCCGTAGCGACCCTCTACTCGAGCGCGCGGGTCCGTTCCGGACGTTTCCTTCTATCGCGCACGATGCGGGACCAGAAGCCCCTCCGTGTGGACGATCATGCCCCCTGGCTCGTCAGTGAGCTGGCGGTATATAACGCCGCGAGTTCGACCGATTCGGAGAGCGCGTCTTCCGATTCTCCCCACGCGATCCACACTGACCCCCCAACTCTTCCCCAGCACTCCCCTGCGAACTCCGAAACCTCCTCCGACAGCGACGACGACATTCCCCTACAGCAGCTCTTCAACCAACCTATGGACGGTCATCGCGACACGCCGGCTGTGCGCGCGTACAGGCAGCCGTTGAGCCCGCCTCGGGCTCCGGCAGCGACGCCGGTCGGTCCCACCTTCCAACCGCGGCGACGCCTTCGCGACGGCCTGCACTCGCCCCCTGGAGTGGCGGGGCCCGCGCAAGCGCCAATTGAGTCGCCCGTACCGGTCGTTCCGCCACCGCCGGGGCCCAAGCAACACAGTCCCCGCCGCTGCCCCTCATGGGCGTGGCTCCAAGAATGGTCGAGGCGGACCCGGAGCTCCCCGTGGAGCTGCCGCCGCCTCCCATGTCGCCGCTGCCCGCTGCGGGTACGGCGCTCACAAGGGCCGCTTCCGAGGCGCCGTACGCGGCGCCGGCGCCGTCGAGTAGCGTAGCGCTTGCGCCGGCCGGACGGGGAGCGACAACGTCGCTGGGGCGGGTATTCACCGCCCCGAGTACCCCGGGCTGGCTGCGCAGCGGCGTTGGTTCCGTACGGTCGCTGTGGCCCGGGTCCTCGATGGACCACCGCCGCCGGCGCCCACGCCGACGCGCTGCGGGCCGCAAGCCTCCGCTTACGGTCGAGGAGTACGTTCAGCGGAACTTGCTGGACGCGGCGAGGTTCGCGGCCATTCCGATGGTGCGCGCGATCAAGACTCCGTCCGGACGCGGTGCCGTGGCGCAAGAGAACCGCGCCGGCGCGTGGAAGGCGCGGTGGCGTCACGCTCCGTGTCGGACGCCGGCCGCGGCGGGCAGTGACTTGCTCTACGTCCGCTGCGAGGGCGAGGAAAAGTACCACATCTCGCTGCTGAACCTCTTCGGTCGGTATCGCCGCTACGAGGGCCTCGCGCCCGACGTCCGCTTGGTGGCCTTTCCGCGGCCTTTCGACAGCTGGTACAGCGTTGCGAACCGAGCGCGGTGGGGTGAGGACGCAGCGCGCGAGAGTCGGCTGCGCTGGCGCCGGGTGGACGATTTCTTCCACATGTGGCACAGCACCGAGTTTTTCTCGGTGCCCAGCGCCGCGCGGCGTGGCCTGTACCCCGCGCTCCCGCCGAACTGGTCGACGTTCGAGGCGCCGGAGTACCTGTGCGTACCGACGCCGAGCGTCATGGCGTACGTGGCGGCGCATTGGTTGCCGCTCGGCCGATCGGAATCCGCGGAAACGGAGCGAACGCGCGTCTTGGTGCACGCGATCATGCTTTCCGAATGGGCGGTCTTGGCCTTCCTGTGCTTCTTGCACGCCGCTCGCGAGGGACTGCCGTTCTTCACGAAGTGTCCCGACCCGCGGCTGATCGCGCGGCGCGAGGAACCGTTCGGTGAGCACGGCCTGCTCTTCCGCCTCTCGGCGGGGCTCATCGATTTAATCCGCTCGGTCGGTATCGCGGAGATCCTCGAGGGTACGGCGTTTGACGCGGCGTACGCGACGCAGCTGTTGGCCTTCACCGAGGGTATGGATTGGAGCGGCCGGCCGGACTTCGCGTGGTTCAGCTGGAACCAGCGGTGTACCCTACCGATGCCCGCCGGAGCCGAGGCAGAGACCGGTGCCGATGGTGGCAGCGCGGCCCCCGGTCCAGCGGACGCGACCATCGCGGTCGACGTGGACGGCGCAGTCGACACGGTCGACGCGGGTGACACGGGCGGCTTGCTTGCCGATGCCGATATCGCGCCGCCGCGCGATGCGGGAACCGGTGCGGTGAGGAGCGTCGTCGAGACCGCGGTACCGGCCCGCGGCGGGTCCGCTCGCGTGGCCTCGATCCAGAGCGACTCGCCGAAGGGGTTAAGAGAACCCCCCGGTGTCGTGGGAATTTCGGCCCCCACCTCAAGCCCCCCACACATCAGCGTGGTGACCGGTACCGAAGGCGATCATCGTCCCGTTCCGATGCCGCCTCCTCCAGTTCCACAACCGTCCGGCCGGTCTTCCCCGGAGCGCCTCCGTGAGGAGGCCGCGTTCACTGCCCTGCAGTACGCTTGCTCCTTCGAGGGGGCAACAGTTCCTTCGTCGGTTGAGCAGGCGCTGCTGCAGGCGCGCGAGTGGATGCACCAAGCCAAGCAGCTGGAGACGACCGTCGCGGCGCTCCGAGAGGCCTCCACCGCGGCGGAGCGTGAGCGCGTCGAGCATCACGAGAAGCTCCGCGGCGTGCAGGACATCCTCGCGGTCGTCAGCCAACGTCTCGCGGCGCCGCCGATGCCTGCCGCTACGGTCGGGGCCTCGCGCCCCGCGCCCGAAGATGCCGCGGCGGCTCCGCCGGCTAAGCGCACGCGTCATTCTTGAGCCCCGACCCGTTGGTCGCCCCCTTTCGCGTAGCCCATTAGGGGCTTCGCCCACAGTAAACAGAGCCGACTAGCGGTGTTCCTTGCCTTCTCCTTTTGGCGCGTGCGGGCGGTAGTGCACGACGCGCGCGAGCGAGGTCGTCCTGTCGGTTCGGCCATGCGAGGCCGGAAGCAGCGCTACGCGAGCGCGCTTGTCCGTCCTTGGCGCGTACGCCAATATCGGTCGATGAAAGGTTGCGGGAGCCCCTCGGAGGGCTCGTAGGTATCGTCGGAGGCGGCGTACCCGTACCAGCGAACCTTGTACTCGGTGCCGCCGCGGGTCATACGGTGTCCCACGATGCGGTCAACGACGTATTCCGCGCGGGGCGTTGTAGTTTGCGCGTCCGATGCGGATGGAATGGCCGAGGCGACAGTGTCCCCCGGCCCGCGTGGCATTTTTGTGACGCGGTCGATGCTCACGCGGTTCTCCACACCGTCCTGCTCGATGAGGACCGTGGTGTCCGTAGCGGAGCGCACACGAAACGGACCCTCTGTCTTTGGTAGAAGTTTGACAGAGAGCTCGTCCGTTCCGGTCGTACCTTGTGCACGCGTGCGTCGCTCGACGCTAGTCAACGGGCGGGGCGGGCGATCAACGTAGACAAAATCGCCCGCCACAACGACCGGACGGAAGCGGACCTTCTTGTCAAAATCGTCCTTGTACCGCTTTTGCGATGCGGATAATTTCGTCCGAGCGCGGTCGAGAGCGTCGCGAAGCTTGCGCAGCGTGGCGCGCTTGTACTGCACCGGGGTCCGCGGGTCCTCTCGATGGGTCCCCGCGTCCTGCGGCACAGTACCGGGGAGAATCAAACCGGACGGTGGCCGCGTTAACACCAGGTCGAACGGAGTCGTCTCCGTCGACCGGTGGACCTGCGTATTGTACGCGAAGGTCAGCGGTTGCAAGTAGTCGTCCCAATCGCGCTGGTGCTCCTCCACGTAGTGCCGGAGGCGTTGCACCAGCGTGCGATTGAACCGTTCGGTCTGCCCATTCGACTGGGGGTGGTAGGCTGTCGTGAGATAATGCCGCACCCCCAGGAGGGCGCATACCGCGTCGAAGAATTTCGCAGCGAACTGGGGGCCATTGTCGGTTAGTACGTAGCGCGGCGCTCCGTAAACGTAGACCCAGTTGTCTAAAAACGCGTTTGCGACGACCGAAGCGGTTGTGGTCCGGAGCGGGATACTGCGCGTTAGCTTGGAGAACCGGTCGGTAATTACCAACACGTGTTGGTTTCCGTGCGCGGTCTTGGGTAGGGGCCCCAGGAGGTCCATCGCGACAAACTGCAAGGGGCCCGCCGCTGGGAACAGCTTGAGATCCTTTTGGTTCTTGACAAGCGTCCCGCGGGTAGCAGCGCACGACGTGCAATTCCGTACGGTCGAAAACGCGTCGCTGGCCATGTGTGGCCAGTAGTACTCCCTGCGAAGGGTGTAGTACATACGCGTCGCTCCCGGGTGACCTGCCAACCTCGGATGGTGTGCCAGGTACAGTACCCGGGGGCGCAACCGAGTCGGTACCACGCGCTGCAGGGTCCCGTCCAGCGGGGACGTCCTCACGAGAAATCCGTAGCGGTCGATGTCGAACTTCGAGTTCGGCGTCCCGACGGTTTCCGCGGCGAAGCGACAGAAGGCGTCCTCAGCTTGTTCGCGTAAAAATTCCTCAACCGAGATGGACGCAGCGTCGCGTTCCTCGGGAGTTATCGCGAGCGTGTGACAACCGTCCGGGCGGTCTTGCGGCGGGTCCCAGTGCACATTGTCCAGGAGGGCCTCGCTGCCCTCTTCGTACTGGACCGCGAAGCACGGGACCTCATCATCGACCGGTTCGGTGTCTCCTCCATCGGTACGTAAGCGCGATACGCCGTCCGCGAGTTGGTGCTTGACGCCTGGGCGGTACTGTACCTCGTAGTCGTACTCCGCCAAGCGCAGGCGCCAGCGAGCGAGCCGACCGGAACTGTCCGCTAAATTGAGGACCCAGCGTAGGGCCTCGTGATCTGTGCGAAGGTTGAACGCGCTTCCGTATAGGTACGGCCGTAGGGTGAGGATGCTCCACACTACGGCCAAGCATTCCTTTTCGGTAGTCGT